TATAAAGTGGAGGAAGATGGGCACGGATGTTAGCCCAGGGCCAGTCTTCCTCAGCGAAAAGAGGAGGATTGGCAGATGTTAGCTCAGGGCTGATCTTCCTTAAAAAAAAAAAAAAAAAAAAGGAAATAAATAAATGGAATACTACAGAGCAATTACAAAGAATAAGTAAACTCTCAATATACTATTGAAGAAAAGAAAGCTGTCCAATGGATTGTTAAGTGACTAAAGCAACGTATAGAACAGTTTGTATAGTAAAGATACCATTTGTAAAAGAGAAAGAGATCATTGATCTATGATAGATCTATAAATCTGCTTATCAGGCATAAAGTATCTACGACAAGATGCACAAGAAAGTAATAATATTGGTTTCTGCGGGGAGGGGAACTTGTTGGTAGAGGGCAAGTGTGGGAAGAAGACTACTGTATACCAATAAATGCTGGTAGTTATTATTACCTTTCATATTGTTATTTCTATTTTACTGCTGTTTCCATCACCCAGAGCAGGACCTAGAACAGTCGTTTTTTAAAATTTGAAACTATGTGACTATGTTATTTATTTTTAAAATATATTTCTAATTTCATCTACCTTTGTCCCTCCCAACCTCTCCAAATTGACCTAATACAACTTACTTATTACTATTTTGGTGTTCTTCCCTCTAGCCTTTTTTTAATGCATTTTTTCTACATTGTATATAACACTGTACTCATAACTATATTGCAATCTACTTTTTATTTAACATAAGCATTTTCATATGCTGTTTGTTATAGCCATTAAAAACAATCCACACCATTATTGAAATAACGTTTGCTGAAAAGATGAATTACCCCAGGGAGATGTGATTTCTCTCTCCAAACTCCTGTAGTGTTTTGATTATAAAATTGATAGGGCATTTATTACAGACTCATATATATATATTTTTTTTTGTGAGGAAGATCAGCCCTGAGCCAATATCTGATACCAATCCTCCTCTTTTTGCTGAGGAGGATTGGCCCTGAGCTAACATCCGTGCCCATCTTCCTCTACTTTATATGGGATGCCGCCACAGCATGGCTCGACAAGCAGTGCGTCGGTGCGCGGCCGGGATCTGAACTGGCGAACCCCAGGCCACCGCAGTAGAGCGTGAGCACTCAATTGCTTGCACCACCGGGCCAGCCCCCAGACTCATATTTTTAAATTTTTTTATTTATTGCCAGTCTTGTTCCAGAGATAATGTAAAGTATAGCATGAATTCTTAAAGAGAAAAGCAATATAATCCCACTCAGCCTAGCATTGTGCTAGGTAGGTATTCAATAAGCACTTGTTGAACGAACAGAATCTGCTTAGATAGGACAAACGACAAA